TATGAGAAAACCAAGGAAGGATTTTTTCCTAGAGCCTTCAGAGGGAACATGGGACCTCTGGGACCTCTGGACTCTAAGACTGTATAAAAATACAATTCTTGTAATCCCAGCTACTCGGGAGGCTGAGGCAGGAGAATTGCCTGAACCCAGGAGGCGGAAGGTTGCAGTGAGCCAAGATCGCACCATTGCACTCCAGCCTGGGTAACCAGCGAAACTTGTCTCAAAAAAAAAAAAAAAAATTACAATTCTGTTGCTTCAAGCTACTCAGATTGTAGGGCTTTGCTGAAGCAGTCACAGGAAACTTATGCCTTGGGTCTCATGACATCTCGAATGCCTACAAAAGCAGTTCGTGCATGATCTGTAGTAATATCTTCCTGATTGCTCAGCCAGGTTTGTATCTGCAGAATTTCTGAACATCAGGCACAGTATTCTTAGCCCTGCACAGCAATTGGTTTCATAATACTTTGGAAAATATCTTTTTTATTTGCTTTAGTCAGGACTCTAGGTATTCCCTCTTCATTCAAAATTTCACACCTCTGTTAAGTAATAGTTCTGAGACTCCCTCTTTGAACAACCAAAAACCCTCATCAGGCAGTTTTAAGACAGTAGTCACAGATTTTTCCTCTGAGTTTAAGATAAACTCTTTGTTTATACAGAGTTCAACTTTGTATAAACTCTTCTGTGGTATGCTTTCTTTTTTCTTTTTGAGATGGAGTTTCACTCTGTCATCCAGGCTGGAGTGCCATGGCATGATCTTGGTTCACTGCAAACTCTGCCTCTCGGGTTCAAGTGATTCTCATGCCTCAGCTTCCCGAGTAACTGGAATTACAGGTGACTGCCAGCATGCCTGGCTAATTTTTGTATTTTTAGTAGAGATGGAATTTCACTGTATTGGCCAGGCTGGTCTTGAACTCCTGACCTCAAGTGATCAGCCTGCCTCAGCTTCCCAAAGTGCTGGAGTTACAGGCATGAGCCTATGGTATGCTCTTTCTTTTCCTTTTTTCTCCCTCCCCTCCCCTCTCCTCCCCTCTCCTCCTTTCCCTTCCCCTCTCCTCCCCTCTCCTCCTCTCCCTTTCCCTCCCCTGTAGTATGCTCTTTTTTTCCTTCTTTCTGCCTCTCCTGCCCTCCCCTCCCCTCTTGTCCCCTCCCCTCTTCTCCTCTCCCCTCCTCTCTCCTCCCCTCCCCTCTTTCTTTCCTTTCCTTTTCTTTCTCAAAATCTACTCTTAAATGATGAAGAAATTCTAAAAAGTCACATTCGATTTTCTTGCCAATCTGTTGGGGTGGACCTCAACAACTAAAAAATTGTTTTAATCATACAAAAAATTAACAGCAGTATCTGTCAAAAAGGTATTCCCAGTGAGTCGGGAACTTATACAATGAGCCTCACCAATGGAAGCCTGAACTCTTGGAATAGTAATGTGCTTGTTTTATCTGAACAAAAGACTGTTGCATTTCCCATTGGGTGTTTTACAAGCACCCAATGTCTCACTGAGTGATTATCTTTCATTTTCTTTACAGAATAAGCCAAGGAAAGAGGAACTGCAAAAGAAAAGCTTTCAAGAACAGCCACCACCAAGCCAGTTATTCTCATAATGAAAAACTGAGTAATATATTCTGTATAAACTGCAGTGCAATCTAAAGTTCATCGGTTGTCCTCAGTCCTAAAAGTCTGTATTGCCAAATTTGTCATTAAGGAGACAGAGTGAGGATAATAGCCATGAGCCAACCACACTTGCCAATCCTTACGGATAACTTTGTACATTTGTCTTGTAGAAGTATTATATATTTTGGGGGTGTATGTGTGAACCGGCCGCATTTTGCTTTCACCTTCTCAGGCTGTCGTGTCTCTGCTGGTCCCCTGAGAATCTGTTTCTGTTTTGTTTTAACTCTCTTTGTTCTTAGTTTAAAAAAAATCAGCCACATATGATGAGGCCTGCTTGTGAGTCATAACCAGAGCCTTCCTTCCCCTAGGACGACTACAGCAGGCTGGGATCTGGGATCAGCGTCTTCCTCCTCATCTCTGACCCTCCCTGAAGATGCTGTGGTAGCAGGCAGCATGGTACCCTAGGGGAACTGCTCTACATCACCACCATGAGGTTCACCAGCCAGACCTCCTCCCCTTGGCCGCCTGGCAGCTCGCAAACGTCCTCTGGTCTTGGCTGATGCGTTTCTCCAGGCCACAGCACTCTTCCTCCCTGCTCCAGTCTTGACCTTGGCGTCCTGCACCAGCTGGTAGGCCTGGCTCCCGGGCAGTCGTCGGGCACGTAGCACAGGACCGGTAGCGTGACGGCGGCCACCTCCGTCGAGCAGGCCACCACCCGCTTTGCACAGCGCCCTCCCGCGGTTCGGCTCCCGGGGTGCAGCGGCGGCCAGAGCCCGGGAGGTCTCCAGGCGTGCACCGTCCGGCTGCCCCTACCGTCACCGCCACCGCCCCCGCCACCACCACCTCAGCGGCCGGGCGCGCAAGGATCGATGAGCCGCGCACACCCCTTGTTCCCTCGCCCGGCGCCAGGGGACCGCTGCAGGGAGGATTTCTTTGCCTCCTTCCCCCTTTCTCCAGCTACCCCAGCGCCCGGCCTGAGAAGTCACCCTGCGCTTTCTACCAGCACCCAACTCCTCCCACTGAACTGGAACGTGCCCCCTTCCAATTCCAGTTCACACCTCCCCAGTCCCACCAGGGGCGCTGCCGCCTTCCATCACGTAGGCAAGCTCCCGGTGTGCGCCAAAGACACCCAGGTGGAAACCCACCAAGGCCGCCATAGTGAGAGGCAGTTTACTCAGAGCTTGCTGTGGCGAGGGAGTCAGCCACCATCACTTGCATTTGGGAGGAGACTTGGAGCCAGGCCGCGGAGTGAGGACCCTTCATCGTGGAAAACGGAAGGCTTCAAGGTGTGCCCATATGGGCGGCTGCTGGTGTGGGGGACCTGGAAGCAGGTATTCCATGCGATTGGCTTGGGAAACATTTGGTTTTCTAGGGTCGGTCCTGAGTTGGAAGGGCGCGGGGGAAGGGCAAACCTTAAGGAAGCTAGCGGTTATTGATCAAGTCTTGACGCTTTGGGTCAGGTTGCTGCAGGGCTCACGGTTCAGAGTTCTTTTTTTTTTTTTTTTTTTTTGAGAATCTCACTCTGTTGCCCAGGCTGGAGTGCAATGGTGCTATCTCCGCTCGCTGCAACTCATGCCTCCAGGGTTCAAGCAATTCTCTGCCTCAGCCTCCCAAGTAGCTGGGATTACAGGTGCACACCACCACCTGTCTCTACTAAAAATATGTATTTTTGCATAAAATACATAACCTGACTGAGATACAAACCTGGCTGAGACAGGGTTTCACCATCTTGGCCAGGCTGGTCTCGAACTCCTGGCCTCCCAAACGGCTGGGATTACAGGCGTGAGCCACCGCGCCCGGCCTCTGTTTTTATATATGGTCTGGCCTTGCTGGGTTTGTATACTGTCGCTGGCCGGTCCTCCTCTCCTGTTTCCTCTGGCCACAGGAGAAAGCTGCCAATGGGAGTTCTCAATCAGCTCTAACCTTCAAGGGCTGGGTTTTAACATTATGTCTGCAAGACATGCTTCAGGTGGTAGGCATCTGCTCTATGCAGCCTGAGCCCAAGGTGGTGCCTTGTGATCCTTCAGCTCTGTATTGAAGACTAGCAGCTGAGCTCTTTGATTTTAAAATTGTGAAACCACTTCTCCAACTTCGTCTTAGTTCTACATCATGGGGACAGCCAGTAGTTACAGAAAACCATATAGAGTTGGCCCTTGAATACCTAGGAGGGTAAAGGCAGCCCTTCCTACCCCCACATTCTCCCACACTCTTCGAAGTAAAAAACCTGAGTATTTATATATATATATATATATTTTTGAGACAGAGTCTCACTCTGTCACCCAGGCTGGAGTGCAGTGGTGCAATCTCAGCTCACTGCAACCTCTGCCTCCCCACTTCAAGCAATTCTCCTGCCTCAGCCTCCCCAGTAGCTGGAACTACAGGCACCTGCCACCACGCCCAGCTAATTTTTGTATTTTTAGTAGAGATGGGGTTTTGCCATATTGACCAGGCTGGTCTCGAACTTCTGACCTTGTGATCTGCCCAACTCAGTCTCCCAAAGTGCTGGGATTACAGGTGTGAGCCACCACATCCGTCCCCAAGTATAACTTTTGACTCCTTCAAAACTTAACTAATACTAGCCTACTGTTGACTGAAAGCCTTATCAATAACATAAATAACACATATTTTGTATATTATATGTATTATATACTGTATTCTTACAGTAATATAGCTAGAGAAAAACTATTAAGAAAATCACAAGGAAGAGAAAATATATTTACTATTTATTAAATGGAAGTGGGTCATCACAAAGGTTTTCATTCTCTTTGTCATGTTGAGTAGGCTGAGCAGGAGGAAGATGAGGGGTCTTGATGTTGCAATGGTGACAAAGGCAAAAGGAAATCCAGGGGTAAATCCATGTCTTGTGTATATAGTCACCACATAGTCTCATGAAGAATAATATAAAACCTAAGCATATACCGCATGCAAAGCTCTATGTTATATAAGGGATGAAGTAGGCTGTGGTAGACATTCTGTGGCCACAAGTTTGGTATTTATCTGGTGTTTGTATTCACATAGCCCCCCCCCCCCCCGATCACTTTTGCTATGGCCTCTTTCTGTTCCTGAATCTCCACTACAGTGTGGGAAAATAGGCATTGCCCTGATACCCAGAGCTTTCAAGCATCTTTGCAAAATCTTCCCATCAATGGGGAATGATGGTTTGGCCCCATCTTCTCTCTCTCTGAATCTAGTTAGCAGCAACTGAATGGTCCCCTGGTGATTCACTGGATGCTATTTTGTTTGTTCCGTCAGCTGTTTATTAATCTGTAACTTCCTGTTAAAATGCAGGGTGTGCTTTTTTAAGAAGCCTTACACAGCATAAGTTTTATTTTGGAACCGGATGCACTATTATATAAAGAGGATCTGTGAGTGTTACTTGGTCTTGTAAGCTATTTTTTTTTTTTTTTCAGCAAAATGTTGTGAGCACCTACAGTGTGCCAGGCAGTGTTCTGAGAACTCGTTGTACGGGAGTGAATGAGATCACCTTAATTTTGAGAAGTTTATCATCTACTCAAGGAAAACACGTGTAATAAACTACAGTAAGTGTAACCATAGATGTTCAAGGTATGGGAGGGTACAAAGAAGGAAGTGGAAAATTCCAGGCCAATAGAGGAGTGAAAAAGAGACTCTAGAATAGAACCTGGCAAAGATTTTCAACTGGTAGATGGTGTAACAAAGATGGCACATTTTGGTGACAGTGTGGGGAGGACAGATTGGACAACAAAGAGCTCGAAGGTGGGAAAGTTATTTAAGAGGCTGTTGCAAATGGTTTAGGCAGGAAATAATAAAGCTGAAAAGAGGGACAGGAAGAATGTTTGAGGTAATTTTTACAACAGGATGGGACAGTGGGCAGTGAGGAAAAATGAGTCGATGAAAAGTTTCTGGTTTGGAGCACTTGGTAAATTATGCTGCCATTACATCAAATGGAAGAAAAGAAGGAGAAGCAGGTGTGCTGGGTGAGGGCTGTGGAGACCATGTTTGGACCTACTGAAGTTCAGGTGCTATGTGGGAATATCATTCAATCGCTAGATACTCAAGTTATTGGAGCGTGAGGTCTGGCTGAAATATCTAATTGGGTAACATCTAATGACTTGGAAACCGTATTAAACAGATTGCGTTTTGGTTTATGGTGATTCATATTTATATATATGTTTTAATGTTTTTCAGATAAAATGTAAGTGCACTCCAGATCGTGGCATTTTACTTTAATAGTATCAGCTTTTACGTTGGTGGCTGGGAATGTCAGGGGTTGAAGGCAGTATAAATTGACAGTATAAAATTAACACCCTCTTGGGTGTTAACATTGACATTAAAGGTGTTACTTGCCTTTTCAGTACTAGAGATTTAAAAAATACTCTGGTCAACTATGGAAAACTGTATAGTTTTTAATCGTGGAATACTATAAAATAGGCATTCTGCTACAGTGGTGTTTTGCTACTGCTGAGGAAATGGGTAAAAATGTGGAAGATGTTTTCTTTTACCATACAAAGTAAAATTTTCAAGAATATTTTTTGTAAGTGTCCTTTGTGTCCTGGAATCTAACTTAACCCTAACCTTAACTCTAACCCAAATCTGTAGCCTTAAGGGCAGAGTTAACACAAGCGCTAACCCTAGCAGAAAGGCCTGAACCTAAATCTCACCCTTATCCTAAACTAAACCCTAACCAACACTAACCACAAACCTAAACATAACCTTAACTCTAAACCTTAAGGTAGTGCTAACCCTAACTCTGTCCTTATCCCTATCTCTTGTCACTAATCCCAATCTTAACCTTAGAGCTGACTTTTTTCGGGGTAGATCTGTTAGGAAAAAAGTATTCTTTAGGACTCCAGAAACTAGGTAATCAAAATTGAGAAGTAAATTCAGATTAAATGAATAATTTATAAGCAAATCATCAGGAGACCATGTTTAACAACATATCATGATTAGGTAGCCTGACCCTTCTGATTGAGGTAACCAAAGGCCAGGTGAGAGGTCTGAAGAACAGTCTTGCTGCTGCTTTCCAACAGTAAGCATGCCTAATAAGGTTGCTATAAAAACTCAGTGACTACTGATTATTAAAGAAATGCAAATCAAAACCACATTGAGATGCCATCTCACGCCAGTTAGAATGGTGATCATTAAAAAATCTGGAGACAACAGATGCTGGAGAGGATGTGGAGAAATAGGAACACTTTTACACTGTTGGTGGGAGTGTAAACTAGTTCAACCATTGTAGAAGACAGTGTGATGCTTCCTCAAGGACCCAGAAATAGAAATTCCATTTGACCCAGCAATCCTATTACTGGGTATATACCCAAAGGATTATAAATCATGCTATTACAAAGACACATGCATACGTATGTTCATTGTGGCACTGTTTACAATAGCAAAGACCCAGAACCAACCCAAATGCCCATCAACAGTAGACTGGACAAGGAAAATGTGGCATATATATACCATGGAATACCATGCAGCCATAAAAATGATGAGTTTGTGTCCTTTGTAGGGTCATGGATGAATCTGGAAACCATCATTCTCAGCAAACTGACACAGGAACAGAAAATCAGACACCGTATGTTCTCACTCATAGGTGGATGTTAAACAATGAGAACATGTAGACACAGGGAGGGGAGCATCACACACTGGGGTCTGTTGGGGGTGGCCAAGGGAGGGACAGCAAGGGGTGAGTGGGGTAGTTGAAAAGGGATAACACAGGGAGAAATGCCAGATGTAGGTGACCGGGGAATGGAAGCAGCAAACCACATTGCAATGTGTGTACCTATGCAACAATTCTGCATGATCTGCACATGTACCCCAGAACCTAAAGTACAATTTAAAAAAAAGAATTCAATGACTATATCCAAGAAGCAAAATCTAAATTTACAGTACACAGACTTCACAAGGTGTACGCTAACCTTAATCCCAGTCTTCTTGAACTCTCAAAATTTAAGACTTTTCTACTCCAGAAAAATTCTAGGACACTGGCGCCTCACTGACTCATCCACTTATATCTAAATCCCACTGTGACTCTATCCAGACCTTACCAGCTAGGACTTATCTCGATTAGACTAGTAGTCAACAGCAATGCCTGGGTCAGAGGGGTCCTATTAGACCCTATATTATATTTAGAGACTTCAAAACCAAGCTGAGGAAATATGATTAGTATCCATAAGACAACGAGAGACTTTGATGGGACAGAACATAACTCAGTGCTGTGTTATATGCTGTACAGACTTGGACACTGAAATGGTATAAAGCGACAGTTACGAGTGGACACAGTGGACAATATTTTCTCTCATTTGTATACAACTTAGCAGCTTGTCAAAACTTTATAACACATATCCAATCCTTCCTAGGATCTTGAGAGGTTGACACAGCAAGTATTAGTGTAATTATTCTTATTTTGCATATTCAGAAACAGGTTCAGCAGAGTTAATTATTTGCCCCCAAATTTTCCAGTGAAAGTGGTGCATTACAGACTAGAACTCAAGTCAAACAATTTCAGATACAATGGGAAGTTCATTCTATTTCATGGAATATGTGAGACTTGCACTGGGCCTTAGCAGACTGCATAAAGTTGAAGAGATGAGGAAGAACAAAGGAGTGTTCTGATGGGATAAGAAGTATAAGGAGAAGGCTGGGTATGGTGGCTCATGCCTGTAATCTCAGCACTTTGGGAGGCCAAGGCAGGCGGATCTCTTGAGGTCAGGAGTTGAAGACCAGCCTGGCCAACATGGTGAAAGCCTGTCTCTACTAAAAATAGAAAAATTATCTGGGCATGTTGGCACACATCTGTAATCCCCACTCCATGGGAGGCTGAGGCACAAGAATCACTTGAACCAGGGAGGTGGAGTTGCAGTGAGCCAAGACTGTGCCACTGCACTCCAGCCTGTGTGACAGAGCAAGACCTTGTCTCAAAAAAGAAAAAAGAAATATAAAAAGAAGGCAGGAAGCTGGGAATGGGAGAGTAAACAGCAGACAAGTGGGAATGGATGAGGAAGGATTGGAGGGAAAAGTGGAGCTTTGGGAGTCAGGCAAGTTGTTTATATTTCATGCAGGGTTTCACCATGAAGTCAATGAGCTTTTTGAACCTGATAGTGACATAAGGAAGATCATCTGAATCATCTGATAGTGGTTTGCAGGGCAAATAGGAAGAAGTAAGCCCTAGGGACCAGGCAGGTGGCTTTTGGGTGGGGATGCAAGGAATGTATAGAAATGCAGTGGTAGGAATTGACATAAAAATGGAACAAAATCGGTTTTTAAAAAGGCAGTTAAAAAGCCTAGGGTTTGATCATGATAGATAAAGAAACTGAAAACATTAAAGAATTCCACATTTTCAGTAACTAGTTATATGGCCTCAGGCAAGTCATAGAGTCTCTCTGGGCCCCTCATGCCCCATAAGTGAATGAAATTATGTGTATAGAATTATTGGAATAATCAATTTTTCTTAATGAAGAAGGATAACTTTAAAATGGCAAGAAAGGTGTTCTCAATAACATTATATTTAAAGAAATGAATAACTGGAAAATATCTAAATGTTCTATAATGGGGGAATAATAAAACAAATTATGAGTATTATATAGAAACTAAAATCATATTTAGGAACATGGAGACATAAATGCTCATAATATAATGATAGGTTGAAAAACAGGACACAGTGCTATCCAAATGTTACTAAAAATAAATACGTGAATAGGAAAAAAAAGAACTGGTTGAGAGTTCTCTGGCTGATGGTAATGTGACTGATCTGTATTACCATTTTTGTACTTTGTACATTTCTGGAATTTCCAAATTTTGTACAATAAGCCTTTATAATGAGAAAAAAATATTTAGGAAAAAAAGAAAAAGACAGGAGATCATCTAATACTACTTAAAATCTTCAGATGTGTCCCTTATAACTATTTCAAAATAAAATATCACAATGAGCAGAGAAGTAGTATCGTTCTCTGTCTGACTTGGAAAATATCAAAGAAGTGGAATGGATTCTGAGATGTGGCTAAGAGAGAGAGGTGACCTTCACAGAAGAGAGAGAACAGAAAAGAGAGAAGAGGATAAAACATTGCAGTAACAAAGCAGAGATATCTGCCTTAACTGAACGGAAATCAGAGTCCTTGTCAGTGAAGTAGGCTGACTCTTGGGAGCTGTTTACAGCTCTGATAAATACAAAATCAACTCAGGAAGTAGATAAGAATGAATTTATGTCACAAATGAAAACCATGTTTTATTGTACAAAATATTTCATTAGGTTTGTTAACTTCTGGGAGACCTTTGCTAGGATTCCTCTTGGTTTTCCATTAGGACTGCAAAATATTTTCAATGAATGTGTATTCAGGCATAAATGAAAATCCACCATCCAGTGACATTATGAAACATCCATGTGTTGAGAATTTTTCGTGAATTTATATAAAACTACATAAAATACATCTAGGAAATATTTAGGGAAATGTGTGTTTGAGGAAAATAATAATAGAAAACCAACAGAATAATTATGTTAATATCTTGATATTGATTAATAGTAATTTGTTTTTGTGTTTAGAGAGCAGATAATATAACACAACAGGGCTACTCATTTGAAGGAATATGGAATGAACTGCCTTTGACTCAGTTTCTTGCTAAATGTATTTTTCACATGATTTTGTACTATTAAAAACTATGAGAACTATATTTAACGGGTGAACTTCTGGCAAATGGAGCCTTCCACTTCAATTATCTTTGATTTTATATTACATTTACCTGTTATTCCACCAAATATATGCTACCCAAAGTTCAGGAAACTCCCCTCAAGTGTTTTTTTTTTCCCTCCCTACAATCTGCATTGGCTTTGCCAAGTTCACTATCACTGTCTGTTCTGGGTGTCACCCCAGCTTACCACAAGATAAGGCACACTAGAGGTCTCTGCAAACCCAATAAATACCAAATCTGGAAAGAGTTGGAGTGACAGAGGCAGGAGGAAGAAAAATCCTAGGCAGACATGGGGGTTCAGGTCCCCGGTGAAACCCCACCTTCAAGCCAAAAATGATTCAAAGCCTAATGCCAAGCTACAAGCCAAATCCACAGACTGGGTTGAGAACCTGTCTTCCCGTTTGGCATACTTTCCTTTGACTGAGCCCCACTCTTCAACTATTTTACATATACCTACCCTTCCCTAATTGTTTTTACACTGTGCCCACCTTTTACTGGTACCTTTGTTTTAACCCTTTTTTTCATACTCACAAACCAATTAGCATGCACTCCCCTAGCCCCAGATTCAGCTACATCAAGACAAGATGACCTGACTTTGGGGAAGACAACCTGACCTTCCCCTCCTCTCTCCAACTCTCCTCTGTGCTGAGAGCTAACTTGTCACTGGGTCACTCATAATGCTCCTTCCCTACAGGGACAGAGGGTGGTGGACCAATTAGATGAGGCTCCAAGTCCAGCTAAGGGGCCAGAAAAATCCTTTATCAAGAGTTCAGTCTTTCTGTCTGGTTTTCTTTAGGATCTGCTTGTCACTAGTCTTTGGGTATACCCACATGTGCTAATTTTCTTGGCTGTACTCACATTTGTAAAAATGGCCTAAAAGAAAATAAATGAACACAGTGCTTAGAAGAAGAACTTGAATTTCTCACTACCCAGTGTCTGTAATTCTAGCCAATATTTTATGTGGCCAGTGGGCAAAACTGTTCCCTGTCGAGCAGGAGGATTTTTCCCAGTTGTAAGATATTGTTCAATATTGATTATCAAAATAAACACTAAGATTGTTTGCTTATATCAACATAGAGGAAGCGAGAAAACAAAAATTTCCATTTGGATACAAAGTTTTTAAAGATGAACGTTGTTAGAATATGTTTGCATCTCTAAAATAGGAGGCAGAAAATAAACAGTGCTGGGAAGAAAGGACAGAGGATAATAATAAAATGAGACCTTTTGACCTTGTTTATAGAAATGAAATAATTAGGCCCAAGATGGCTTTTCTGTTGCAACCTTCTCATCTCGTATTTTAACTTGAATGACTGTAAAAATAAACTGCAAGTTTCTGTACCATATGTAATTGGTGTGACATCTGGGGCTCTATCAGAGGCCACTGTTTCTCTAACTTCAGCTAACCAGTGCACTTCCTGTAGCATGCTCTGGATCAGCTGTCAGAGCCAGAGTCCAATTACCCTCTGGCACCTTTTCGAATCCTCTCCCCTTCTCTCTCTCTCTGACTCGCAGAAGTGTCCCTTCTTGCACTTATATAATTCCTGCACTGAAAAAACTTATTCTTTTGCCAAATGTATACGAGCAGAGAGCCAGTAGGGTTAGCCATATCCATTGGAAGAAATTTAAATCATGTTGCAACTGACAATTCCTCATTTGCTTGATTACATGTACATTTTATACCTTTTCCTTCTTGACTCCTTACAAGTGAGCCAAGATCGTGTGTTTTTCATCCATGGCTTGAAGTCTAGGAGAGAAGGAGAATGAGGAAGAAAATAATTTGAAGATTTTTACAGAGAGAAGGGATTGAAATTTTCACTGGAGTGGAGTAACTGGAATAAGCAAAGGCAATCATGCTAGGCAGCTTCACTGAAAGCATTTTATATTTTAAGTTTCAGACATAATCCCTCAAAACCAAGTGGAACCTTTTCAAGGGGCTGGCAGATGCAAGCCTGGTAAGTCACTGCTTAGGATTTAAACTTTGATCTGAAGCAGAATAATAGCAAGAATATATTTTAGGAGGAAGTGTTTGGGTCCTTCAAAATTCTGTCTTTGTTATATCCGTAACTGTGCAAAGATAGGAATTCTTGCATAATAGCAGAAGTAATTTGGGGTATTTTGCTTGGCAGCTTTGGGGCATGTTTTCCTTTGGAGGAAGGAGAATCAAGAAAATATTTTTTGTTTCACCATCTAAACCTACTCTAGCATAAAATCAAATGACCAGTGGCATGGTATTTGAAGACTTAGGCAGATTAATGACCTGTGAATTATGCTTTTCTTTCAATATATTCTGAAATATTTTCTGGTTGGATACACAGTTTCCGTAAACATACACTGAAGGATGTTTTGGTGAAAATAGAAAACTCAAGTCTATCTTGATTCAGAAGATCTAGTTCTATTTTAATAAAATGGAATGGACACTTTGCTTTTTGCCCTTCATTTAATGTCTCATGGTTATAGAGATGGAATCATGGCAAAAGCATTTAATTAATGACAAATGCATTTCAAAGGAAACTGTGACCAGTAAAAATATTAAAATAAGATGCCATGTTTCCAAAGAAAGACTGGACATTGAAACTTCAAAAGACCAAATTAATAAAAATACCTTTTACTTTCCACTTATCTGAAAAAGTCTCCTTGGTTTTCATAATCAAATCCTCTAACTTAGCTTCTATACAGACCTTTGCCCTCAAGTAAATAAGGAAATACCTGAATATAAAATCACTGCAGTTCATTAAATGTCAGAGAGAGACTTGTTAACCAGACATATTAGATAACCAACTTCATGCAGAGCAGCTGCCAACAGAAAATGTCAGTGTTCCCTTTGAAGACAACTGATGACCACAGAGAATGTAAAAGTTTATAAATAATTAGAAAAAAATTAGAAAGCTTGCAACCTCAGGTCATGCTATACATTCTTAAGCAGAATAAATGTTACAATTAGTGCCATTAATAACAATGACCAAGTATCAATGTGCTAGAGATTGTGTGGAATGTAGACACGGTTTCAGCCTAATTCCATAATCACAAGTCTGTTCATGGGCAGGATATAAGCTAGGAGTGAAATTTTAAAAAGGAGTGTGGGCTGGCAGGGGTGGAGATGAGGAGTAGTAGGACTGTCTGGGGAATATTTGATGTACTTTTGTAGATATGAAAAGCTAAGTTTCTCAGAAGAACTCTTTCATGAGGATGTGATTTTGGGGGGTGGGTGTGCAGGGAGCTGGGGTATGGAATAGAGAGTTGAATTTTTTTCCTTACCCACACGGGATATACCAAGCCTAATAGTTTAAATTTTGCCAAGGATTGAGATGTGATTTTTCCCCCATCTATGTCCTGGGAATTTCATTTTCCTGAGATGGGTAAAGGAATGGAGCCCTTCCACCCTCTTCCGGGTGTTCATCTTCTCTCTGAAGAGGAGAACATGAAATCCCCATGAAGGAATTCTGGCCAAGTCAGAGAAACTGTAAGATGACCCATCTTTGGATGGGTCTAAGAAAGCCTGTGAAATCCCTGTAATATTATACCGACTTGCTAGCTGAGGAACCACTTCTTACATCAGCAGACTGTTGAAAGGAAAAGCACTGGCTCAAGGGAAGAAGAGAAAAGTCTTTGAACTCAGACTGCCTTGGAAACCAGGGCTGCTTCTGCTCCAGAGCTTACACCCTGTATCTCAGGTTATTCATGAACAGAACCTCTCTGCTTGTGCTTTGTAAAGAGTGTCTGCGTTTGGAGACAGACTTCCTTCCCTTTGTAAATAAATACAGGTCAGCCAGGGAGATTTAAGAATGTGGTAACTGGGATTAGTCTTACCCAAGCTGGCATTGGGAGTGTCTTGGCTATGGAGGAACTTAGGCTTTCTGTACCCAAACAGGATATACCAAGCCTAATAGTTTAAATTTTGCCAAGGATTGAGATGTGATTTTTCCCCCCATCTCTGTCCTGGGAATTTCATTTTCCTGAGATGGATTAAGGAATGGAGCCCTTCCACCCTCTTCCAGGTGTTCATCTTCTTTCTGAAGAGGAGAACATGAAATCCCCATGAAGGAATTCTGGGGTGACTCTGAGTTGGATCTAACAGGGGTGAGATGAAGACTCAAGCAGAGAATCAGAACCCTGGAGCATTACAATCATAGCGGGGAAGAGAGATGTGTGCAGAAAACCCAACCATCAAGGCAAGGAAGGAAGTTGGAAGTCTTGTAAAGTTAGTCCTAAAAGAGTCAGAAGCAAAATGGGGCAAATTGAACAGAAGGAATGGCCTTGAATAACTGACTTGGCTCTGCTAACAAAAAGTGTGCATTTCATATTGGGTGGGCTAAGCATAGCCATGGTGGCCTAACGGTGTGGCACCAGATTGGGCAAGTCATTCTCCTGATACTGTGGCTGTGCAAACTTTGTCTAAAGTCTTTTTTTTTTTTTTTGGAGACAGGAGTGTCTCTATCTCCCAGGCTGGAGTGCAGTGGCACCATCTTGTCTCATTGCAACCTCCGCCTCCTGGGTTCAAACAATTCTCATGCCTCAGCCTCCAAAGTAGCTGGGATTACAGGCAAGTGCCACCAGGCTCAGCTAATTTCTGTATTTTTAGTAGAGACGAGGTTTCACCATGTTGGCCAGGCTAGTCTCAAACTCCTGACCTCAGATGATCCACGCACCTTAGCGTCCCAAAGTGTTAGGATTACAGGTGTGAACCACCATGCTCAGCGTAAAATCTTACAGGCTAAAAGCAATCTATGAAATCTATTCCATCTCCCTCATTTCATATACATGGAGAGTGAAGCCCAGGTATTAATTCAAGATTTAATAAATAATAAGGGACAGAGCCAGACCAGATTCTGTCTCTTTCTCCCCATCCATTAAGTAGTCAGCTTTGCCACCAGTATCCACCTTGAAACCTTCATGCCCAACCTCACTGAATCTTTTATTCTTAACTGAAATCTGCATCTTCTTTGAGGGCTCTGCTTCTCCTGCACCTCTCTCACGTTACAGGTGGGGAAGATGTCCTCTGTTGCCCTCATTACTCCTTGCACACTTTCTCCCTTACCCTAAAATCTCCCAGTTTTGAAGTCCATGCCATCAGACTGCTTTAAATCCCAGGCCATCAGACTGATGTCACCCACTACCTCTTGTTGCTGAAGTCATCAACCTGGGTCAAGTACGTTGTAAGGTATAAAATTTCAAGTGCTACCTTGATGTCTCTGAGTCTCACAGTGCTCCAGAGGCTTGACCATGAATTACCCTGCTTTCACCAGATATAACCCTCCCTTAGTGGGAAAGGTTTCCCATCCATCTAGTTCCTTTACCAGCCAGACAGCTGCAGTCCACCTGTTCAGCCTTACAAGTTTCATTTGCCTGCTAGCCTGTGAAATTACTCAAATAAGCCAGTTATGTCCTCCCATGAGAATGAAGGGGCACCTCATCCTTTTGTTCCTACAAAGCCTGCCTCCCACAGTCTGCTGGTTCACTCAATTCCTGAGTGCAACCCCTGTGTGGTCCTGTTCTGGAAGGCATGTGGTGCCCAGGGCTGTGAATATATGTGACTAATAAGCTGCTGTCCATCCCATCTGTCCAATGCTGGGTATCTTGTGTTCAGCCACCTCATAGTATTTAAGGCAGGAAAGCCCTCTTTCATCAATGGAGTGAATAGGAAGTTATCAGAATGGTCAAGCTCCCCCATTATTTGATCACTTTAAGCTCCTGAATCACTATCACTGTTTTCAACATTTTCTCCACATTAATTCTTATTGATGTCAATATGTGCATATGTAATTCTTGCAGTATCCTGGTTTGTCAGTATCTTTAGTTATTGATCTTGTCCTCAGCCCTATCTCAACTGTTCACTTCCATATTGTTACCAACAACTCCAGAACTCCATGTATCTCACCCATCCCATTCTTTAACCTCCATTCCTTATCTTTCCAGTTCACTCCTAGCACCTTCATTTCAAAATGAAGACCCCCACATGAGACCTCCATTCCATTGATTTTATCACCTATTCTTTTCTTTATTCATTCCCATCTCTTCTTCCTTCCCACTTATCCAGTTAAAATTCTATGGCTAGTTGTTACAATCCTTTGCATAAAGCCTCCTCCTTGCTGGCATATTATTCTTTTTATTCATCTTATTTATCAAAACCATAATTCTGGTTAAACACTACCATCACTCTACTCTCTTCCTGCACCTGGGCAGCTGAGCCTGGCTCGCACATACTCACACTACATGGTCTCATTTTAAATTCATGACCGCAGTCCCCAAGCAAGCCTTTAACACTGCCTGTCATTATTCTATATTTCCCTAGTTCATGTATTCTCCTACTCCTCTAGATAACTATTTCATGCCTTTTCTTCTCTCTTAAAACCTACATTTTTTTCCCTGACTTGTTTCTCAGTCGATAGCTTTGTTTTCTACATTACTGGAAAACTGAGACCATTAGAGGAGACCTTCTGAAATCCTTCTCCTCATCTAACCAGTAAGCATGTGAACCCACACTCCTTGTTCCATGAGGTACCCAGGCTTCTGTCTAAGGCTAACACCTGTCCATGTGAAGTAGATCATGAGGCTGGATTATGTCACCCAAAGAGCGCATGTAAGTAGAAGACGAAGAGGTATAAAAACCAGGCCCTGGAGCACCCAATAGTAAAGAAGTCAGGGAAGGAAGAAGATGAACAACAACAAGATGCCTCCTCCTCACTTGCATATTGTTGTCTTCATTTATCTTATGTATCAAAACCGTAAGTCTTGTTAAACACCACCATCGCTCTACTCTGCTCCTGCATCTGTGAAGATGAGCCTGGCTCACACATACTCACACTACATGGTCTCATTTTAAATTCATGACCGCAATCTTCAAGAAGGCCTTTAATACTGCCTGTCATACTATATTTCCCTTCTTTTTTCTCCTTTCCATTAGAAAACAGTCTTTATTTCTCTGGTTTTAAAAAAATAACTCTTAATTGGCCTC